TGAAAAGTCTTCTGGTACCTCTCATATTCCCGTTGGTCCAGCTCTTGGACACTGTCCTTTCGCCATATAGAAGGTTCCTGATATCTCTCATATTGCCCTCTGGCATGTCAGCTACACCTCCCAGCTTTGTGTCACCAGCAAACTCACTGAAGGCATGCTCTGCCCCACAATCCAGAATGAGCAGAATGGAACAAGAAGAACACTGCCAAGGATGGGCAAAAAGGGGGACTCTCCTTAGGGAGAGTGGGGCTAGAGAGGCTTTCAGTGGGCTGCCAAAAGCACCAGTGTCAAACTCAGAGTTTTTGTTGGTTTTCATACAACAAAACTTTCCCCTTCCCTCGATGTTACTGAGTGATGCTGTTTGCACACTGAGCAACAACTGCAAAGAGTTACATGAACAGCCCCACACATCATTTCATGCAATAAAGAACCCTATTAATGTCACGTGTGGGCACTGGGCATTGACTACCAATGGGCCTGGCTTTCTACCCCAAAAAAGAAAGATCACAGAATCTTCCTGTCCAGGAGGCCGAGGCCTACTCAGCTGGCTTGTGGCACAGTTACAAAGCCCAGTGAATAGAATTGCCAYGCTGCCCCTCARTACCGAGCGAGCATTGCCYGAAGGCACCCCTTAATGTGACCCTTGGGGGTCTGACATCAGCMTTTACACCCCTGTGGAACAGCTACAGAGATCTTGAGACCCCCGTGTTCCCCCACCCCAGCTTCCCATTGCAGGGTGAACACAAGCTGCCCTTTTCTTCCTGCTGCCTCCTCTCCTGAGCATGTCAAAATAACCAAAAGGAAGAGAAAGCCCATTCCGTGTTTCATTGTGTCTGCAGCCTGCACATCTATTCACTACTAAGCACTTTCTGAAAACTGTGCTGGATGACTGTTGTTATCAGTAGGAGGTTTGTGATAAAGGGAGGAAATTGTATTTGGATAGTAAATCAGAATTTCAGAAATCTCTGTCCCATTTCTTTTCAGGAAGTTTGACTTTGGTTTTCAGTGTGCCATGTTCTCAGCTTCGTGCTCTTTGTGTCMCCCTTTCTCTTCTGCCTTTCTTGGCCTGTTCTCTTTCTTTCCTAGTGCCCATCTATGCACCTGTGGCAGCTCCCAGTCAAAGACCCTCCCCTGATTATGTTTTCCCAATCCACATGCTAAAAYACCCCTTGATTAAGTTYTGAAGGCTGCTGGTTAACTTGGCTTTCGGCCCCTTCAGAGCTTTGCCTTAAAGGGCAGGAACATCTTTTCCTTGCTGGAGACTGGAATTCCAGACCCTTGCACTGTGTGCYGTGGATCACAGAAGGGAATTCTCGAGGCTCCYGGGGCRCYGGTTCTGCCGTGCCTCACAAGGGAGCYRTGCAGGTGACAAGGTCCCAAAGCCGTGTGGGTATTTTCAAACACATTCCCAGCTCAAAGGAGAGGCAAGAAGGAAAGGGAAGCAAGCAACTTTCAGAATCCTGGAATGCTCACGGCTGGAAGGGACCCTGYGCAGGTGTTAYGATSCCATGAGGGAGAGATGCCTCTGCCCAAACGAGACCATATGAGCACAATATAATGATTTGATTTAACCTGGATTTTATTAAACAAGAAAGGTGAGGTAAAGAGATAGAAAAGAATAGCGAAAGGTCTCAGAGGCAGAGAGAGAGAGAAGATAATCAGYTGGAACTAGATGACCTTTAAGGCCCTCCTCTTCATTCTGTAATTCTAGAAAATGTGTATTTCAAATTGATATTATTTACTACTACTATTTCATCTTCTACTTCATCTTCGTCTTCCTCTTCTTCTTCTTTACTACTATTACTATTTATTTTTATTCATCTTAGGCATTCTTATTTTTCTTCGCATTTTGAAATACTATTTCTTATTAATTAATATTATTTCTTCTTATTCTTATTTGTGTTATTTTTCTTATTCAACTTATTCTTCTTATTGTTATTTACCATTATTTCTTCCTCTTCATCATCTTCTTCTTATTATTACTACTACTATGATATTTTTCTTTATCTTCTTCTTCAACTTAGTATTTTTATTGTTATAATTTTTCTTTCTATTGCTATTTACTATTACTATTTCTTCATCATCTTCTTATCCTTATTCTTATGCCTATTCTTCTAATTTTTTTTTTGGTTTTTGGGGCATTTTTGGGGGGTTTTTTGGAGGAGATTTTTGTGGGGTTTTTTTTTCTTACTACTACAGTTTCCTAAAGCCAGCTTCTATCGTGATGGAAGGATGGTTTGTGCGGCAGTCCTGCTCAGCCCGGATGGAGCCGTGCAGGCAAAGGCCGCCCSTGCRGCTCCCTCAGGACGCCGGGCGGGCTCCGGTGCAGCCGCCACCTGCGGGGCCCGGGCTGGCGCTGGCAGCGGGCGCTGCTCGTCCGGCGGTGCCCTCAGGCAGGGACAGCGGAACAGCCCCCGCAGCGCCCGCCTCAAGCGGGACGGACGATCCCTGGGGGCAGCCTGGGCTCCGGGCTGGGGAGCTGAGGGGCCGGGGGAGGAGCAGGGCCTGGGGGGGCYCTGCAGGAGCTGCGGGTACTTGGGGTTGACCCAGAGCGTGTGGATGGTGATCCGTTTCAAGTGCTCCTGTGGCTCCTCTTGGACGCTCTTATCTCTGTCTTGGAAAAGAGCACGCGCTGGTATGACCTCCCCTTCCGAGAGCTCTCGGCCAGTGGAGAGTTCCCATGGGCAAAGCCCTTGGATGCAGGAATCTTCTGGGAATGTTGCTGGCTCCAGTCTGACTTCCCCTTCTGAGAGCTCTTGGTCAGGGCAGAGTTCCCAATCGGAACTCTCAGCTCCGAGGGACAGCTCTTTGTCCGTCTCCTCTTCCCTCTGGAACGGCTCTGGGTCCATGGCGTGTTCCCAGTTTGCCCTCTCGGTGGCCGAGCCCCCCTGCCCCGTGTGTGGCCCTGGCAGCTCTGCCCCCTGCGCTGCCCCCTCCCGCTGCTCCCTGAGGGCTCCCGGCCGGGGAGCTGAGGGGCCCGGGGGGCAGCGGGGGCTGTGCGGGGCMGGGCCCCGGCTCTGTGCCGCTGCTGCCTTCACCTGCTCAGCCAAGGCAGGAGAAGCTGCGGCCGTGGCCGAGTCCTGGGGAGCAGCGGCGGGGTCCTGCAGGAGCTGGGGGTACTTGGGGTTGACCCAGAGGGTGCGGATGGTGACGCACTCCCAGTCCTCCTGCGGCTTCTCTTTGTTGTTGCTGCCTCCCCTTTGGGCATGTTCTGGTTCTTGTATCACTTCCCCTTCGGAGGGCTCTTGGGGGGTCTCAAATAACCCCGGGTAGAGCTCTCTCCACTGGGGAAGCTCCTGGCCCATGGAGGGTTCCCCCTSTCCCTCCTSGCAGTCCCARTCCCACTCTGGCTGCTCCAGCCGCCCCCACTGCTCGAGGAGCTCGTTGAGCCCCCAGGGGTCTGTGGGGCCGCAGGGGCTGTGCGGGGCCGGGCCCTGGCTCTGTGCCCCGGCCGGGGGGCAAGGAGGTGACTGCCCTGGCACATCAGGGGCTRCAGGGCCCTGGTTCCCGGGCAGCTGCCCTCGGGCCTCATCCCAGCTCCCTCCAGGGCTGGCTGTCACCTGGGGCCTCGTGCCCAGGTCCGGTTGCTCCGTGGCAGGGACAGAGTTGGGGCTCGCCTCCTCCGTCAGYATCTCCATGCTGCTCTCTCTGCCGCTGAGGTTCTCAGGGGAGCTGCTTCCTCACGTCGCAGCGGCTCTCCTGGGACCGGGCACGYCAGGGCTCTGCGCCCCTTATATGGCACTGGGGTAGGGCGGGGCTCACAAAGGGCGTGTCACAAAGACCTCTGGGCATCACAATGTCCCACCTCACCAAGGGCCCTGACACAACATGCCTGTGTCACAAAGGGCCACCCTGACACCACTTCACCAGCCAAATACACTAGAAGTGGCCTGGAGAAGCCCCCAGACCTGGACACTCTTAGCCCCTGATGTGCCCAGAGCCCTGTGATGCTTTGGACACGGTCGAGCCCCACACTGCAGAGCCCTGCCTTTGGAGGGTGGGCTATTTGGGGAATGAGCCACTGGCCAGATGGACACAGCCCGGGAGCTGTGGGCTCGGGCTCCATGTCCGGCTGCAGGGGGGGATGAGGGGTGTCCCTCAGGGCTCTGCCTTGGCCCCGGGGCTCTTCAGTGTCTTCACCAATGACACAGACTTGGCCACAGACTGCACAGCCGTTGAGACTCAGATCTCTGCTGCTTTCTCTGGCCCCATCGTGCTCCCAAGATGGACCAGACGCAGATGAGCATGGTTGGAAAAGCAGCATCTTTTATTCACGTGCCCATATTGAAGCCACCCCATTATGTGCCCTCARGATGCTGCACAGACTTTGGGCCAGCCTCTTTTACACAACTTTTCTCTGAAGGAGATACATTCCTGTTTCACCTGAGAATTCATGGCTTAACTTTACTGGTGACATTGSTATGGACAGACCAGTTTTGTCTGAATAATTACCTTTGCATTCCTGAAAATTCTGGGCCTGTCAAGATACCTTGATTAATTTTAATTGATCCTGAGCAGGTGCAGGGCCTGCCACTACCTGAGATGGGGATGCAGCACCCTGTGTAGGATTTCTCAATATACTGAACCCTTTCAGATGTGCTGCTGGTAACAAGCAGGCTAACAGCTTTCCAAGTGCCCACCTGTCACCTACCATGGCACTCTGCAGCGCACATTTTGCCCCATTATTACTTCAGTTACCAGTTTTCATCAYCAAGCAGTGATAGTGTGTGATCTACTAATGTCTCCTGAGCCATCTTTTAGGTGCTGCTATCTCTGACCCAGTTACAAAGGTAAGAAGTTCAAGGTGTATGAACAGGTATGTCCTGTCCCAAGCCTACTGCAAARGTGTCTGAATCTTCATCAGCATGGGCTCTTTACACTAACAAATCAAAGGAGAAGACTTATAGCAGGTGTACCCCGGCAAGAACAACTTTCTTTGTGCTTTCCAGTGGCCCCCCAGATGCTCCAAATCTCACAAATTCACAAATTCACCCAAAATACAATGTCCAGAAAAAAAGATGGTTTATTGGACTAGATTAAATGATGTAATGCTTAGACACTGCATTTGTATTAACACTGCTCTTGCAGAGGAACATAAAATGATACCTTTTTTCCTGCSTCTCATTAAATCTCAATGCAGGTATTTCATGACAAAGGGCATTGGATGCTTTCCAAGTCACACAGCTTTGACAGACTAGAAGAGATCTTGCATRTCTAATAATTGAAATGGAATTCCAACTTCATGCCTTGCTGAATTAATTTTGTGCTTTTGAGTTCTCTTGAAGCTATGAAGAACTTAAAAGGATTAGAGTTTGACAAATACAAAGTTGATCAGATTTGTAACAAAAATGCAGAGACAATCATTAAAAAATACTGTCCTTTAAAAGTTGGGCCACATTACTTTTGACTCTGAGAATGGCTGGCAGCTGGAATAACAGTGGGAAAAACCTATGAAGTGACATCAAACAGGTCACAGGAGTTTTCCTTTCTCCTTTCCTACCAATCTCTCCTCACAGTACCATTGTGTCTGTGCAGTGGATATTGCATGTTGGTTTCTCTCTTTCTTTTTTCTTCTGTCTTCAATGTTTCCTGGAGTTGTCACTACCCAAATAYTTTGGGTTAATGTATTCAAATTTAACCCAACAATACTGAATAAACTGCATTGACAGTGATTGGATTTTGTTTGTAAAGTTGTCCTGAATGAAATTCCAGACACCACTGAAGACAATACCCACCTCATAGGTATATTTGCAAAACATTGCACCAGTTCCATGGCACAAATGGATTGTGGATGCATTGCAACAAGGAATCACATCATTAAAATTTTAGACAAAAACCTGACTGCCATTTGTGCCCTTTCCATTTAACACTGCAGGCAACAAATATTTGGACAAGCAACAGGTTCAGTGGATCTACAGTCAAGAGAAACAGATTCAGACAATCAATACATTTCCATAGTCAGYTGTATGTATTAAAACCAAATCAAACTCAACCCAAACCAAACCCCAATCTGTCTTGATCCTGGATTTTTCTGGGCACATCAGATCCATGGAGTGATTGTTTACATCTCTATCCTTGGAGGAATGCRGCATCTCCAACCTGAGGCATTAACAACCATGCAAATACAAATGGTTTTATGCATATTCCACAGGAGACTTTTCACCCACAGGACAAAGTAACAGTACAATATATTGAACAAGCTGTTACACCCCACTTACCATCATCTTGTCAACAAAATCCATTATGCTAATATACAATGAGCTTTTTAAAATATAAATGAACAATACTTGCTCAAACAAGTATCATTAATTTTTATCAATGTATTCTCCAGAATTCTTTATTGATCACAGAAGCAGATACAGCCTAGACTAATACCAAAACCAAATGAAATTCAGTCCTTCACTGTAAATGAGAAAAGATGAGCAAAATTACTTTCCGGCAGTACCACAAACCATGGACTGCCACAAAGTTTGTGCGAGAACTGGGACGGATTAGAATTGAGCAGCTGAGACCAACGAGCAATCTGCAAGTACCCCAGATTTGAAGCATTTGTAGATGAGCTACAAAAGAACAGTTTCAATACAGCTGTCTATGAGGAGCAATCTGGCAGAGGACATCAACRACTGGTAAAAAACAACACTGAAGTATGCAAATATGTCACAAAATATAATTCTGCTGGTTAAAGAAGGTAAATAAACATTTACCAGTTCATTTAAGTGATAATCCAGTTATCTTAAGACAAGGTAATGAAGCAGGTTCACCCTCTTTCTTACAGGACTACAGAAATAACTAGTGTGAAGCTTCATGAACAGCTTTTCTCTGGCACCAGGCTGTGCTTCCAAACTGAGCTCTAACACAGAGATCTGCTGCAAAGCYTTTGCCTCATTCACATAAGGAAAATTTCCAAAGAAAGGTTTCACATCTTCCAATTGTATTGAAAAGGTTTTTATTTTAATTTGCTCTCCCTCTCCTCACTGTTCCTCTTCAGAATACATAAATGATCTCTTGCGGAAATGCACCTCAAGCTTTACCAAACAAGCAAATGAAAAACAAAACACGCAGAGTAGTAATAAAATATCCAAATAAAAACCCAACTCCAAGAAATGCCAAGTGGACATCTGATTCTGCATCAAAAACACAACCAAGCTGCCTGGGCTATCAACTTTCACCCTGTACTGAGAAGCACCARAGCTTTCAGTGAGATGTGTGTCCTGTCCAAAGATGCACTACACCCATCTAGCTCACTTCAGTACAGCCAGAGGTTCATGCACTGAATSACAGCTGAGTTCTGGCACAGGGTGGTGACACCAGCTGCTAAAGCAGAAAACCAGGAGTCTTGTCAGACCTTCGAGAAAGGCAGCAGTGGGGACTGGGGAAGACCAAAGATTTCTCCTGTGCAAGAGCGTGAATTTCAGTTCAGTGAACAGGAGCCAGCTCACAGTGTGACAGGCCCAAGCCAGCTTTGGCACTTGTGTTACTGAAAATAATGTGGTGACCTGTCCCCAACTCAGCAGGCAACAGCTGTGAAGATTTATTTGCACCAGTGACCACTTGAGCAGCAGCTAGGGGGGGTTTCTTATCCCAGGGAAAGCTTACTTGCTAGCTGCAAAGTTACCCAAGTCCGGCTGTTGTTAAACAGAGACATGAGGTAATCAKTATTTCCAGAAGAGTTAACGGGATGCCAGGGGTGACACACAAAAAATGAAAGAATAGAATTTAAAAATACATGAACGAGTAGGCTTAAAATCTACATTGCCTTTTTCCAATTTAAGCTCTGTCCAATGAAAGACAGTTTAACAGCATGAAGTGCAAGTTATCTTACACTGGCTCAAAAAAAAAATTCACTGGAACAATCAAACCCTGAACATTCCTTAATTAAATGGACAACTCTCTTGGGAATGACAAGGGCAGAGACCATACTTTTTGTAGACCAAACCTGAGCAGAGATTGGAYTTTGTTTCTTTTCTGTAAATAGACAAAACAAGTATTTCAAGGTAGAGCTGAAGTGGTTTCAAAATAGCCACGAGCCAGGTCATAATCAGAATTTTGTATATACAACTTGTATTAACTTAAAAAAATAAAGAAGTTCAAAATACCTCCAGAGAACATTCTAGGTTAGCAAAATGTCCTGTACAAAAGTAGGCCACATCTGTTGGTTTAAAAGAAGTCCACAGCAGTTGGTCTTTTCTTAGCWGACATAGTAAATGGTCTCTTCATTTGGGGCTCTCTTGCTGGGGTCACTGAGGGTGACTTCAGCACCCCATGACGAGGTTTCTGTTCAGGATTGAAAGCCACACGGGAGGGTCCTTCTGGGCTCACTAATATACTTTTGTCAGTCTTTTTAAATTCTGTTGAAAAACAAGCCAACAAGTTAAAAGAAACTCCTGGAACAACTGGGCCCATCCATCAATGTGGAATTTCCCAGCCTTAGGTGCCAGAGTTAGAGCTTCAAGCCCAGCAAGGATCAGAAGCCTAAGACTTGGCAGGGATAACAGCAGGTGGTGAAGCACATCTCTCAGTGAGTCCCTTGGGGAACAGGCTCTACTGCAATCCACTGTAAACCCACCCTGTGGTTCCACAGACCACCAGAGACTCTGGAACTTTTCCTCACACACAAGTGTTCCAGGTATCCTGAAGAACACCACACTGGAGTTTGAAAGATCACAGTGTCTCTACTCTGACTGTTAAACAGYTCCAGAGACTCTTGGCCATCCCTTCTGCCAGCTGGGAGGCATTTATTTATCATTTTGTGCACTGGGTTATATTAACATAAGGACATTTGCTAAATACACTGCTCTCAATTTGAACTTCTATTGCGTACCCCAGAGAGTTAAAAAATAGTTAAATGAATACATGGAATATAATTCTACACTATGGAGCAAGACATTTATTTAACAAGGAAAACACTGCTTGCAGAAGAGAAGTGACATTTATCTACTTGTGACTGTTAATAAACCACAGGCAGCCAAGATAAAAAGAAAACTTTGCTACTACAAAGTCTGATTTTATCTGTGTGTCAGCACATTTGCCTCGGGAAACAGAAGTGAGCAATGAAGACTGTGAAGTGCACGTGCTTCCCTCAGAGGTGCTCTGCAAACAGGCAGCTCAGGAAGGCAAGTCCATCACCCTGCTGCAGTTTTTCAAACATAGGACTCCTTTTGCAGGTCACTAATGCAGCAAGAATTGCTCAACCTTGGAATTGCTCAAGTCTAGCTGCAGGGCTGAAAGTCCTAAAYTTTACCATCTCCTCTGGAAAGAAACTTGAGGAGGGTTTGTAAACKATATACAAATATTGAGATAAAAGAGGGTCAGAATCATCCAGTTATAGAGGTGTATGAGTRTGTACAGTCTCCCCGTCCCTCAGCTACCAGAGAGACTGTGGACATACCCACATATCAGACTCACCTGCAGTCATGTTTTTATTCAAGCCAAATGTGACTCTTTTGGAGCTGGGCGACTGCAACTTGTTCAGCTATAAAGCAAAATAAAGACATGAAATAAGATTTCTGAGGCAATGCTATGAGTTCTTTTACCTGCATCCCCCTGATGATAAAGCAGCCTACTTCCTTCATTTGGTTTAGAAGTGCCCTAATCCTCTGGCATTGACCCCTGTTAAAATAGCAGTGTTTTTCTAGCCAAAAGCAAACATATTCCATTTGTGCAGAAATCACATACTCTCCTTAATGTCATTACATAATTCAACAACAAACAAGAAGGTATTTGTGTGTTAAACAGACTGGCCCCACTGCACTCAGGCCTCAAACTGCTAGGAGGGCTTGAAAAACTTTTTATGTTAAAAAGGTCTAAGGAAGAGGGAGTCTTTTAAAGCCTGTACTGTTTCAACTTTCCACAAATGAAAGAAATGGAGGCTCAAAGTTCCTTTGCAAGACTGAAAGTCAGTTTATGCTTTTGCTTTYTTGTGAAATGAGCAGATTCAGAATGCTGTGTGTTCAACAAGAAGGCTGGAAGCAGGAAAAGAAGAAGAGATTTCAGAGACATCTACAACTAATTTTCTGAAACTCTGAAGCCACGTGTGACTCTGTCTACAGGGAAATGCATCAGCATTTCCAGTTCTATCTGCTCATTTTAGGAGACTAACACAGAGTGGAAAAGACAGTTTGAGTGAGGTCACACCCTTTGCTGGGGAGGTTGCTTGGGAAGACTTGTCCCCAGACTCAGCTGCCCTTTGTGAGATCACCTCACCTGCATGGATGTCCTGGTGGAAGAGATGGTGCTTCTGGCTTTCCTGAAGAACACTGCCTTTGGTACAGTTGATTTTTCAAATTTTACAAAATCACTTCCTGGTTTCACTTTCTTTTTCTTTAATGGTGACAGAGCAGCACTGCTTTCCTGTAAAGGYGGGAAGAGTAAAAATACTTCAGTACAAACTACTGCAGTTAACTATACCTGGTGCAGTGATCAGTGCTGACCCCACACACACTCACATCAGCTAATCATCAAGGTTAACTCTCAGCAGGTAATTTTGCAATCAGCATGATTGAAAGCAGAAGTTCAAGGCAAGTTCTGTGCAGAAATAGGAAAGTCATTGCAAAGCACAGAAGGAAGAACTTGCAATAGATTTATCAAGCCCATCAGAGTGCAAGCAAACACGATTTCTCCATGTGCATGAGGATACTCTGCAATTGATTCAGCTCTCCTGCGCACAAATTATTGTTTTTTTTTACTTCATCATAAGCAAGAACTCTTCTGTGGTACCTCTGGATGAGTARGATGAGACAAATGAATAAACACAGCTTTGGGCTAAGATAGAAACTTTTGAGAAAAAAATGGAGTATGAAATCTGACTATACTCTCAGAAATCCAGCTATTGTGTATGCTACTAGTTTGATGCCTCAAATTCTTACTTCTATGGCATTTAAAGCAATTCTTGTCTTCAGCACAAGGCAATTSTTAGAACCTGCACTGGCAGTGCTTTCTAACCTGCTGTCTGTGGACTAGTCAGATACTTGTAATCTGTAGTGAAAGGAAGTTCAGTTATGCTTCTCATCAATCCACAGACATGGAATTCCRAAAGCATTCACTGACAAGCTGTGGAAAATGTCCAGGGGATATGGACTCTTTTGATTTGAAAATCACTTGTGCTTTAAATAAAGAGAAAAACCACAAGACTTTTAGCTTTCTGAATGGTGGAGACAACTCTGAAATAATGCTGATCTTGCCTTTTTTTTCCCCTTCTCCTCCTCCTCCTCACTCTGAATATTTCAAGCTAATTCTCTGGAGGTGTGTGTTGTCCTTGAAATCAAGAATCAAAACATGCCCCTCATTCCTGGGCACAGGGCCAAGATTACATAACTAAAACCAGGAAATAAAACAATCTGTTATTTCTCAAGCAATGAAAACAAAATCAGCAAAGCCTTATTTCCTCTGCATTTGTGCATTTTAGCTTTACCCTTTTTCTTTCTTATRTCAATACTCTCCCTCTCCTCCTGACTCAACTTCCAAGTATCTCTCCTTGTGTCCATCCCTCTCCTCCCTCTCAACAAACATACACACACAACTACCTGGACTGGGCAAGAAGCAGAAAATGCCATAATTTCTTTGGAATTCAACATATGAAGAGTGACCCATTAGCCCATGTCTCGACAGCTAAGAGGCCAGTGCTGGGGTTGTGCTGCTGCCTTTCCCTCAGTGCCTACACTTAATCTGTGCCAACAACTCATTTCTTGAACGCTGAAACTTTTTATCTTGATTCTAKCATAGGTCTTGGAACCTGTTGATTACCTGCAGCAAAGTTTAACAGAAAGAGATGAGACTGGCATAACTGTATTTTCTTAAAAACTAAATTTTTATAGACAAAGGTATGCAAAATGGAATATTGAGACAATTTTTTTTTAAAAAGCCAATGGTTCCTACTTTGAAAGCCTGGCAGTGAGAGAAATGCAGTTTGAATAGTGGGAAGAGAGAAACCTTTCGGCTCTTCCCTCTCAGCACTTTATCATCAACAAATAGAAAATGTCAAAGTTATTTCATTACTATTTAAGCAATATTTCAAAATGCAATTTTTCTCCCATGAAGAACTGAGTAGTTACATCAAGTTCATATACAAGGCTGCACTACTTAAATAATTCCAGTTTTAAACTTAATTCAGAGGTTAGCTCACAGGATCATAACATGCACTTTTTTTAATACTCATAATCTCATTTGTGCTTTATGAATYTTTCTTCCACCAAAGTGAAGTTGTYAGCAAGACTTCCAAGAATATAACTAAACCCCTGAATGTGTTAGGGTAAATATGCACATGGGAWATGAGGAGTTAAAAAGAATTTCAGTGGTTGGAGGGAAGAACTCCTGTACTCTCTCTTAGCCACACTATCAAAACTATATAGYGCAAAATGACTTTTGACTCTCAAATCATTGAGAAAAATCAAACCTGTTCTATTTATTGCCAACAAGAAAATGGGGGTAGAAGGTGCTGGGGAATAAATAGATTGTTCTCAAACTGCAAGGCATACATTTTTTAAGAAGTCTACAATCAGACCTTCCTAGTGAAAAAATAGTTTTGTCTTTATAAAAAAACTGCACCATTCATAAGTATGATCACACAGGCACTGACTACATGAAAGGTCACAGTGTCATATTCTCTATTCCAGTGTCTTTTCTCTTTCCCCAAATATTTTCCCCAGACAGCCTGATCAGTTTGTTTAGCATGGAGCAGTGAGCRAGCAAAAGAAGCCACTCCTGGAATTGCTGTGGGCAGTTTCACAAGGAGCTTATCCTAATCTATGTGTGTGCTGCTGCTGCTGCAGAAGGGATGTTCCACCTTCCCATTTCTCGTTGTTTTGTCAAAATATGATGCCCTTTGTAAGCATGCTGTAAAGCTCAACCAGAGGCTCAATGCACAAGATTAATTAACCCAGGCACAAAAGGGAAAAAAAAAAAGACAACCCCATCTTGCCCTTAACATCCCCATTTTCAGCTAGATGGGTTCTTCCAGCTGAGTGGCTGGCACAGGATTTAGTGCTGTCGCACAGGAGGATGTGACATGGTAGCAGTGCRTGGATTTCTGGGGAATTGAGTTTTTTTTGGTGACAATGCATGACAATATCAGAATGCAGCCCATGCAGCCCCATGATCAGAAAGCTAAAGCCAAATTTGAAAATGAGCCTGACAGTTCCTGAAGCAGACACGGAAAAGAATGAGATGTACATACCACCTTCCTGCTTTTCTTGCATACAGTCTCCAGAAYGCCATTGGCTTCAACAGAGTTTAGCACCTCTTTCACTTTTCTCTTCTTTTTCAGCGTTGCTGTGTTCTGACTGGAGACTTTCATCCCTTCCAAACCAACTAACTTTGTCTTTTTCTTCAGTGTGAGCTTTCTGGAGGGTGCAGATTCAGCCMCTGCCTTTCTTGGCAGGGTCTTCAGCAAGCCTTCCTTGTTGGGTTTCTGGTCAGTCTGCTGCACAGGGGGATCCCCATTCACCAGGACAGCCTCTGCTTTATGCTTCTTTTTCACAGCCTTAGGAGGTAACAGTGTGAGAGATGGGCTGACATCCTCTGCTGCACTGGCATGAGCTGGTCCATTCTGACACGCTRGTTTTGCAGGAACATCCTGCACTTCTGGATTAATTTTCTTCAATTGACTCTTTTTACTCTGCTCTGCGTCAGTCAGACTGTTCTGCACAGACATACTGCGATTTTCTCTGGTGTCAGTTGATACATTTGTGGTCTCATTGGCCTCATTTACTAGCAATTTCTTTTTCTTCCTCTCCTTGTTATTTTCTGGCACCTTTTCCTGGCTAGAAGCATTAGATCCAGATGTTTCAGCTATTCCCTCATCACAGTTTCCATCCACTGTTCCAGAATCAGCACTTGGTCTGTCCCTCTTCTTCCTTTTTTTCCTCTTCCTCTGGGGACCTGATGGCACCTTCACACTTGACAGCTCTTCTTTATCCTCTAAACCCATCCCAAAAAGAATGCCATWACACAYATGTGAAACACAAAGGTGCTTACAACAACTGAATTCTATTTCTGTTCTTTTCTCTTAAAATAGGTGTATTATTTTCCTGCTATCAGCCTGCACAACAGTTTGACTCTTACAGCTGCTTGGGACACTGCAGTCTGCTGACATCTGGACTAATTAATACTTAGCTAATTTTGCTTAATCACAGCTAAGACCTAAACCATTCCCTGCGGTAACCCTATTTTTCATAGCACCATCTCTAGAAAGAGTTGTTATTACCACCTGCTAAGCCCATCAGAAGGGCAACTCAGGGGTTCAGTAGTCCAACATCCCCAARTTCTTACACTCTTAACATTCATCCTCTTCTACAACTGCCATGTTTCTGCTTTCCTACAGTAAGTGCAACTACTCAAAGGAGCAATGCAAACAGCTGCTTCCAGGTCTGCTTTTGACTGAAATTTTTGAGGTGATGCTTGCCTCAGAATTGGTAGAACTCCCATCACTTTCAAAGAGAAGTTAATTTCACGTTCAACCTTCATCACAACAGGATACAAATCAGCACATCCTGAACAACAGTGTTGCCTTCCTCCGAACAGCTTGTATCTGACACTTTGCCAAACAGCAAAAGCTGCTGCAGATTGTCTGTCTTCCAAATCTTGATCTTGCCTTACCTTTCACTTTTTCCAGCTCATTTTGCTGCCAAGGCTTGACAGTCTTTTTCTTTCGCTTTCGCCTGCCGAATTCGTCGTCATCGTCTTCATCTGTAGAAACATCTTCAGGAATATCTTGGGGGAAGATTCCTGTTGAGGAAGGATAAAGTATCAGAAAATGAAGAGTCCTACTTCTATGAACAGTTATGCTATTCACATACAGCATAACTCATACGAACATTAAAAACAAYTTCTTTTTCCCCGCCCAACCTTAAAGAAAACCATAYGACCRATTACTCTTTGTTTAAGCAAAAATMATCATCTGTCATTTAAGGACAAAGTACAGTGCTACTCAAATTGTGAAAGGAATTTGGGCATCTCACYAAAAAAGTGTAATGTGTCTCAACAAGCTTTAAAAAACCTACAAAACTCCCAATACAATATTCTTGAAAGACACATTAAAAAAAGAGAGAAAAAAAATTCCAATACACATTGTATGAGAGCATTACATATAATTTAATGGAAAATAACTACTCTCTCAGTCTGCTGCTCATTCCTTACCTTCTGCTAAGTCCTGGAACCTGGAGGTGGAGGAAGGGAGAAAAGAAAAAACAAAATGTTATTCCTGGTTTAGTACCATTAATAACACTAGCAGAACAGCATCATTGTACTTATTATATGTTTTTGTCAAAATAGAACCAACACATTTTGCATAGGAAGTTACAAAGAACCCACTTCAGAAGAGATCTGCCTCAGAAACTCCCAAACTCAAACCAAATCACTGAAAGTACTGAGTAAACAGCAATTTAACCTTTTTTCTGCATCTGTTCCTTGCATCCCACACAACCTGATGTCCCATCCTGCCTTACAAGCCCGCCCTGTGCAGATAAATCTGTGCAGATAAACCTCAGCTGGCTGCAGCTGTCTGGGTACCAGTGAGRAACAGCATGACACTATCACCAGGACAAGAGAGGCTGGACAGAGACCAAATGGAAGTTGTTTAGGACAAGGTGTATGTCAGCAGAACTCACTTTTTGACCAGCTTGTACAGCCGCTTTCTGTTCAGGGAAGGTGTATTTTTCTTGCTTGCAAATTCAAAGATTTTGTCAGCAACAGCCTTGTAATCAAACTGTTGGGGGAAGTACAACACAGATTTTCTTAGTTTACCCACAAGATAATCCAGCACAACTCGTGTCACCAATATATCAAGTGTTAACTTCAATAGGTAAACTGTAAAGATACCCATCTTGTTGAAATTTACGCCCCCTTCACAAACATAACTGCCTTCACCCACTGGCTTGCACAGATGGTTGCTTCATTAACAGAACAGCTGAACTTGGTACCACTTTTTCAAATGTTCATAACCTTAATTCTTACTCAAGAGAAAAGCCAACCCAATTCAAAACTTMCATAAATATTTAGCTAAATATCAGATTTAAAGTGTGTCATGCCCTAATTCTTGCTTAAAAGCCACAGAAGCATGAAATTTATCTACCTGTATGAGTGTTTGATGGGAGGAACTGTCAAAACCACTACACTGCACTGGCCATGGGTCTAGAAACCCAAACTGTAACACATAACCCTCTCTCCTATGTATCCCATCATTAACTGTCAGTGAAATTCAGGCTGATTGCTTCCCCACTCATGCTGACYAGGCTTTTAGCACACATTTTTAAACTCTTGAGACAGGAAGGGAGGAGCAGAAAACAGAAGGTATGGGAGAGAGGAGAGAGGAATTTAGACATGGGAGTTATTTCACTACCACTCACAGAACACACATTACCTAAATATCACCTCACATTACACCAGAAGGAGATTAAAATTTTCTAACATTGACCCATTAACACCCTTTACTTCTGCACCTCTTGAAAGGGATGGGGAAAAAGACAGAAGTATCAATAACAGAGCAAATAAGCCACAAACCTGAAGAACAGTCCCGACCCCATCATCAGCATTTTCATTTATATCCYCTGTTTTTTCAGAGCTCTGTGCTGATTTTCTTGACAGACATCTGTGTGCTATTACAGAAAAAAAACACTGAATATTAGTGCTTAGTTTGTTTGAAATAGTGACTCCAAAAGAACAAGCTTTGTTAAGCACACCTGAAGGGAAGATGGGAAAACTCAATTATCCTTACAACACCCTGAACACGTGTTTGATTGGCTCAGAGCAGAAACATATTTGCAAGAAACAGATTTTTCCATCCTAGCAACCTTTACCAGGGCAATTTAGAACTCCCTCCTCACCTTTGGTTTCTAGCACCTCTTCATTTTCCTGTTTGCCTTCTTCAGAGAGATCCTCCTCATCACYGTTGGTACCCAGCTCTTTCATCAGGTCCTCGATGGCGAACGGGGACTGATCCAAGATCATCTCAAAGATGCCGGAGGTCACAGCATGGAGCACACACCGACTGTGTCACAGGAGAGCAGGGTGAGACCAAAGGCACGCCATAAACACCCTCCCCTCTCATGTTTTTTGAGTGGAAATTGGAGAGGAAATGGGTAAGAAAGTGGAAGAACACTGAGTTCTTCAGATGATGAAAGTGTCCCTGTTACTCCCTAAGCAGAAGTTCTTTAATCCCAACAGTGCCCTGCTAATGTCCTCCTCTTATATTTCACYGTTTATATGCTGACCAATATTACATGGCAAAGAAGCAACTCAGCTGCTCTTYACATTAGTAAATTAAAATAACTGGACAAATTAACCAAGAGAGGTTGATATAGTTCTTATAAATCCACAGAGATTACAGCTTTGATAAACATGATTTATCTTCAAATGACTCTGCACATTGCTGGTAAAATACCCCTCTTTATATTCTGAAATTATGACCATTTGATCCATTTATTACCATATTCAGAGTTTCTMAATTCTTAAAAAGTATTTATCCTTTCATTAAACTTACTCCTTTGATTTGGCAGCAATTTTGCAGAAAGGTTCGATGAACTTGAGATTCTGGTCTGCTGTGAGCTGTATGATTAGGAAGAAAAAAAAAGAGGTGAGTACAAAAAATACTGTATGTACACTGAAATTCCTTCAATATTGGTGTTTGCACAGGAATTGGTGTTGGGGGATCTTCTTTAACAGTCTTTCAGCACATTATCTAATTCCAGCTGGCAGGGGTATCCAGGGGCCTTTTTGTTACTCTTGCTACCACTAACTCCCAGATATTCCCTGGAAGTATTATAAAAACACTGACTGCCCCACAGACTTTATTCTGCTTACTACAGAAATAAAACAAAGCTTCTTATTTTAGATATGGAACCATGAGGCAGAGAAAGCTTAAATAATTTYGCGTGTTTTTCCGAAGAAAGTCTGTAGCAGACAAAAATAAGATCTGGGTTTTTCTTAACAGGGCTGCTTGGACTACTATCAGCTACAGTAGCGCTTCCCGTCAAAATTCAATGTATGAACATCATCTGTGATTTCAAATAGTCTAGGGGACTSACTCCCCAGGCTTCCTGTGAGTGGCTTAGCTACAGTTGTGTGACTGTGGAGCYGCAGAAGTGATTGGGGTTTGAAGTGCTGGCCCTTCTCTGGTGCAGACATCTTCTATGTCTTACTCCATAATGCAGAACCACAAAACCTGCAGGCAGGATTGCTTTCAATAGGAATGGAAAATTGCTGACAGCTTTGYCCATTGCAAGGAGAAGTATCAGAGGCCAGAGACAAAGGGAGGCAACTGAGAAGGAGCCCAGGATGAGCGTGGGGCAGCAGGAAGGGTGGAGGAACAGGAGAAATGCTCTTTGGCTTTGYTGCTGAACACGCTGCACCACTGGAACAGCAGCCAAAATTAAGGGTCACAAATTAACTGCCACAGCAACACACAGCAGAGCAAGACAGATGTCACCAGCAAAACAAACATCTGGATGTGGAGGGTAAACTGCACAATGCACAAACAATAAGAAAATATTAGACAACTGTGAAAGCTCATTTTCCTCCTCCATTTAGGTGTTACACAATRAGCCAAGAGTAGGCTTTATGTCAGCCTTTGCAAAAGCAAAGGCTGGAAAACAAGTTCACATAAGGAAAATTACACTGAGTCCCTTCTGAACTCTCCAGTTGCTATTTTCCAACCTCAATTTGGAGCAGCATAGTGGTACTCAGGAGCTTGAGAGAAACTACCATATTCTCACTGTTAAAGACATGAATAAAAGTAAAAGCATAACTTTTATGTCACTTTCTTCATGCTGACTCAGTGTTGTTATGATACATTTAAAACCATCAGAAATTACATAAGCTAAAAACCATATTTCTTCTAAAATGCTGCGTGCTACAGTTAACATCAATCAAGAAGAAAATGACAAAGTATTTTCTAACCTCTTTTGCACCAACTTTAGCCAATTCATCCAGATAGATATCAATTAAATGGAACTTTATCCCAGTGGGAGAATTGCTGTCTGGGTCCATAATTTCTTTCATTAGTAGCTGCAGCAACGGTCCAACTAGACTGAAAACAAAATAATGAAGAGGAAAAGAAAAGAACAAGATACTGATATTCAATTGCTCATGTCTTATTTGGCTTGAAAACAACTCTAGTGATTCACAGCTTTACYACTTCTTTTGTTATGGACAGCTATCCAATTTGATGTTTTTTTCCTATTTCTTTTCCCTGAAGCCTATCAGTGCTATCTTTCAGGAAACTGAAGCTTTGTATATGCCAAGCTTTCTCCCCTGGCATTCTTTAGGACCTCCTGCAATTTTGCCCAGAACAAATATTTCCACTCCCAAAGAGAATTCAAAATATTGAAAACCCATAAAAATTCTTTCAATTTTACTTCAATACACCTTTCTTCAAAAGGATTTTAAAAGACAAGATAAAAGAAAGTCATGCTAGGCAGCTTCTCGGCTCCACTTGAGAGGGAAAGGCAGTTCTTGAGCTCCCTCACTCTGCAAAGAAAGGAATCATGACCCTCTCTTCCCACACTGCCTCTTTCTTCATGCAGGTTCTCCAGTGAAAGATGGAGAGCAACGCCATAAGAAAACTCGTAAGAGATCAGTTTGGGTGACCATGTGTGTGGGAAGATGGGCTTCAGCCTTATCAAAACTCCTCCCACACCTTCTGCTCCTGTCAAGGAACATTTTAATCTCTTCCAATTGAGGGCATTTACCCAGTGTCAAACTAAGGTAGAAAAGAGGGATGGAGYATCCTTTAGCTCTGAATTCCTTCCTGYTTCCACAAAAAYATGYCTGTGTGCATYCCACATTTCAGAAYGCAAAACAGAGAAAGGATAAGTTTAACACTGGGTTATTGAGCCCTTTCAATTAAAACTCAAAYTTCTTCATCAGTTTAAAGACAACAGACTTAGAAGTGGCACAAGAGCTCTAGACAGAGCAAATGACTGGAATTATTTGTCTTTTAATAGAATATGGAAGAAATACAAACAAAACGATGATGTATAAACCAAATAGGAAGCTAGTTTACAATTAAAGGGTTCTGACTTATCAAAAGAGAAGTCACCATGATTAAACACAGTAAAATAAAAATTTTAAAAAGTGGCAGCCAATAAAAAATACAAAATTAAAAAAAAATTCCCTTTTTTTGTATTTTTCTGGGATGCGGGTTCCCTGTCCAGTCTCTCTGCAGGTGATATTTCATTGACAGCTCTTCTGGCTAAATCAGGAAATGAAATACATAAAATACTGTATTTTATTTAATGAAAGTGTAACAGCTGACTATGTTACTAAAGTAAGGAATATGAAGAATAAATAAGCCTTAATGTAAAGACCTCATGACAGTGCCATGTATGAAAAAAAATCTACAAAAGGAAAATTTATTTGATAAAGTTAAATTGGGCAATTTGTTTACGATGCAACAACATTCAGAAATCTGCTTACCCCTCATCCCATTCATTTCTTTTCAGCACTTCCAAGGATTGCCTCAAAATCAGACGCATCAGCTGCAAAGCAGAAATCCTGTTATGTATGTTGTTTATGAAAACAGGTAAAGCAGTCACTCTGACTGTAATATGAACAGACTTCTTGGTAAACCTCTTTAGCACAAGGTGGAAGCTGCCTCACATGAACATTTTGACAGACTATCATGTAAAGCAACAGAAGGGTGCTGTGAAGCAAAAAAGGCAACAAACTACTTTCATATGCTAAGCACAGAAAAATCCATGCCCATTTCTACTATTCAGCTTTCTCTTGCTTCATCCCCGACTTCTTCATTAAGTGCTGCCAAATCTTAGAAAAGCCACACCTTAAACTGGCTCAACAATATGGGACAGACGATAACAATAATAATTTAATTTACTTGAAACTTGCACTAAGATGTATGTAAAATGGTTATATGTAAAATATGTAAAATGGTTACATTCAACTGCCTCAAAATACTTCACTTACTGAAATAACTTACATCTGCTAATATTGGGAAAGAAAAATCACCAATGAATGTGCTTGCAATTAACTTCTTTCGAAGAAGAAAATGGGATTTTGTTYTTTACAAAGGTATGTTTTTTAAGATTTTAGTACTTGTTTTAATACTCTGTTTCCTACAGAAAGAATTCTGATAACTGAAAGTACTGCAGTGGAGACTTTACTGGTGGTACTTTACTGGGTTCTAGTGCAGACTCATAAAAGAGTCTTTAAACAGTCTAATCTAAATAACTGATGTTGATAYACTGTCCCTTGAAAAAGCATTGATATTCCAATACAGAAATCAAMGAGAAAAATCACTGTGTTAGAAGGGAAAGCACTTGAGCATGATATAAGCTGTACTGGCTTTTAGGTTTGCAGTGGTGAGAGAAGGCCTTTAAAACAAACATCTCTTACAATGGCTCAAGAAGATGGCCCCTTGTCTTCTCTTACACACCAGTGCATGTACAAAGCTGCCTTCCAGCACCAGCACTACGTGTTTTCTAGAACAAAACACCCCCAAGAGGTGCATTATTACCATGTAGTACTTGTCCAGACGCAGATTGTCAATCCCATTCCATTCCCGGTTCATTGTTTGCCAAAATGTCTGGATGAACAGGTGTCCTGCAAGGGAGCAAGGAAAAACACCTGCATGTCTGGCACAGTGGGCTGTTTTGCCCACCTGAAAGAGTCTCAAGACAGGGATGCAGCTCCCTAGGATCTTCCTAGGGACAGGGACAGAGCTAGGGGAGGACAGGCTTGAAACTGGTACAAGCATGAATTAAACTTGAGCACAACACAAGAAAAGGCACACAGCTATCTTTAAAAACAAGTTTAATTCCAGGGACAGATCTGTATCTATTTTGTGCTATATACACATAAGGTAGAACAAAATACATATCCTGCACTCATCTCTACCCATGCAAGTTTTGGCATTGACTGAGTACTCCATTTCATGAACATTTTGAATAGCAGGGGCTTAACAGCTCATGAAACAAGGTTGGTTTTGAGCAAGAAATACACAGAACAGTCTATACAAAATGGAGCAGTAAGGGGACAAGTTTGTTTTGCTACCTGTCCTGCAAAGTCTCACCTGTATCACACTGAAGATACAACTCTTCCCCTGCAACAGCCAGGAAAAAACTKCAGCTCATTTCTCCCTTAATGCAATCACACACACCACTTGGACAAAAAGAAAAGAAAGAAACCACCAAAACAACACCCTATCTGCCTGTCTTTATTCTGGCACTGTGACAGTGGAATAATCAAAGACTGAAGCACTTCTAGAGCTAGATAATTAGATCATTAAACAGTATTAGATAATTAAATAGTACTTACGAGCCTCTGTATTCTGAAACACGTGGATAAGYTGAGAGATATTGGCTGCAAGTTCCTCCTAAAAGTAAATAAATATAGTTAGTGTAGCATGTTTTGGAGTTTGGTCTCCTCACTAAACACAATATCAGCAAACAGCAAGAAGTATGACGTTCATAAAACATCTCTCAAAATAAAAAAAAAAGGTTCTCTCAAAAGCTGCTTTAGTACTGCAGTTATCCTTCCACTGGGCCTAGGTCAGCTAGAACAGGCTATCAAAACCTGTTCATTTCACCAGGTATTTGAACAAATCATCTTTTTGACAAGCAGGCAATATTAAATTAGGAGAAGAATCCCCTGTATTTGAATTAACAAATGATGTAAACCTTACAGGACAYTGCTTTCCACAGCTCTGTGGAGCTGTCTGGGCTATGTGTGAGATCAACCTTGCTCATGCAGACAAGTGATTTGAAAAATGAGGTTACTGAGAGCTGGTACTCCAAAACCAGGTAGGAACTTTGGAAAGCACGGAGATAAACTAGTAGAAGTTGACAAAAATATGCAGCAGGGACAAAGSTGGTAGTAGATGAAGTGCTACTGAACTAACAAAGGAAAAGGATGTGTGAAAGTTTCACACTAAAGTCTGAACAAATGTTGCASCTGCAGTTAAGGGCAACCTGCTCTGGTTCCACCAAATCTACATTTCATGAGACATCTATTTGAGATCTGGTTTTGAAAGGTAAATAGCTACACCTGTCCCCCTGAAGGTGAATCCAGACATGATCTRTTCATGTTCTAATCACCAAGTTACAGCCACCTCTCCTTCTGCAGGTGCCACAAAATGGGCTGCAGAAGAAGGAAAAAAAAAAAAAAGAGAAAACATAATTTTCCCAATTCCAAATTAGTATGTTCCTAAAGTGTATTTTGGAGAGACCCACTCAAGCAATTATAAACCCAGTTACCATACCTGAAGCAGAGGTTTATCCTGCATCCACATACAGTAGAAAAGGCCCTTCCATATTTTTAGCAGCTCTTCCTGGCTGAAGCCACCTAGAGTACAGAACAAGTCTGAATGAAAAGAAAAAAACCACATATTTCCACCAAAGTATTTTCATTAAATTCCCTTTGCTCCCTGCTTTCTTTGTTTTTGTTATTTTGTTCTGGTTCCTACTGTTAGCACATTAATTGGAAGGCAATTTGGTATAGAACATGATTCCGTGACTGTAAGCCTCTACCTTAAGAAACAATAAAGATTTCAAAGCAATCACAAGTGAGTTGAGTACCAAGATAATTCTGATAAAACTCTCTTGCAGATTTTTAATAYCAAGTCAGAAAGAAATTTTTAATGAGGTTATCAGACCTATTTTTACAAGAAAGGGAAAGGTTTTTGTTTGATTTGTTTTTATTTAATTTAAAGTCTCACTTTACCAATAGTTTTACTCTTTGCTAGGTGTTTGTTGTGAGAGAATATACTTCTAGCAATCAATACATTTATTTCTGCATGAAACTGYATAATCAAAGAGCCTGAGTAACTATAATGAAAATATTTCCAATACAGTTAGTCTTGAGATGTAGTAACACCTGAATTTTGCAGCAAAGAATATTTTCACATTACAGAAGGAAAATTCTACATGAGAAGTCAGTAATAACTGCTCAAGAGCTGGAATTGTCATTACACCAACTACATTGCTGCGAATTAAAATTACAACAGTACACTGTTACAACACAGTTACAATGACCTACCACAGCTATTTTCAAACTCTGGCCTATTAAGTACTCCCAAGTAATTTCAGGAAAMATCACTTTGAAAAGGTCATCATCTTCAGTAAGCTCAAATTTGTTCCAAAAAGATTGCTGTGTCAGATGTCTGCTTGGCAAAAAAGCCTGAGACTCAGTGCAAGATCTAAATAGTGCACCTTTTCCTTGGAGCAAATAATTTGGAAGCAATTATCACTCAGACAAAAAAACCKGCAAACACATTAGTGGAATCATCTGCAATTGTGCTTGGTTAAAAAGAAAGGAAGTGAGGGAAATATGCAATATTAAGTAATATTAAGCACTAATTATAAACTTMACTTAGACTTGATAGTAATGTTAAGACAGAATACAAAACAATCTGATTAATCATTCAATATTCATTGTAATATTAAAATTAATAACATTTCTTAAGGGAAAAGTATGTGACATAATAGTGGGAAGAGGCAGGTTTAACCTCACAGCCATCATTAGCTCCAGAGAGGCATCACACAGAGGCATCACCCATTATCTATAAATGTGGCTCAGGAGTTCCCAGAATTGAATCACAGAATTATTTGGGTAGGAAAAGACYGTCAGAAAATCATGGCCAAGACCACCACTAAGCTATGTCCCCAAGTGCCACATTTACACATCTTTTAAATCCCTCTGGGGACAGTGACTCCACTGCAGCCTGTTCCAGTGCTTCACAATCTTTGAGTGAAGAAAACACTTTCATGAGGTTGCTTTTCATTCATACAGGGCTTTTTAAAGTGTTCTAGTCAGTTCTGTGTCCATTTGACATGGGACTAACCAAAGGGTTTTATAGCAAGTTTCTTATCCTAGTGGCTCAAAAGAGTAGCTCCAAGGTTGTGTGTTCTCTTTTCCAACTTTATGTGTCGTCCCCAGCCACAGCTGGCAAATAATAATCATTCAAGTAAGTTTATTTTAAAAACGGAATACATTGTATTAGCAACCACAGTGCACAAAACTGAAGGCCTTCTTCACCTTAAAGCTACCCCGAGAAAGATTTTGGCTTTAGGGTTTGAACTGTAACCATCCCTATGCCCAGTAACTCTGTTCCTAAGTATTGCAGGAGCTGGGATTAACATGTTACAACCACTCCCAGCCACTTTAATGCAAACCTTGTCAGCGTTTCTGTTTGGGGGTGGAGGCTGCTTTGACACTGCTATCATGGAATTTGTTACAATTTTTCCTATTCTAGATAATTGCAMTTGACCAGATCTACACAGGAAAGTGGAAATTATGTAAATCCTTTCTAGCTCTGGGCCCAAGTTAAGTGCAGCTCTGTGGGATAGGAAACCCCCCAGAAATCTTTCCTTTTTTACTAGAAGCTATTTCTGTTTACTATTCTTTCATCAATTCATTTTCTAGCTCTATGCCTTCCACAAAGTTTGCCTTCTYGCTGAAAATTCAGCCCTCTGAAGAAGCTCTCCCAGCCATCTCACTCAGGTTGCCTGATGTGTGAGCCTCATCCCTCTCAGAACACTGGATGGATAATAAGGTTCCTAATTTAGAAATAACTGAAAAAACACCCTCTCTCCTCAACAATCTTTCTCTCCAAGCCCAAAGCAGTTAACCTGTGTTTCAATATACCTACCAGCAAGTAAATCTAAGAGCTCTGCAAAGCAGTCACCCTTGTTTCCTACTCATTTGCATTCCCTGGTGGGCTGATTTTAACATGCAGAAGGTTCACAGCCCAGCTGAGCAATCTTCCTGGGATGGTTTCACGATGTCTTAAGGCAGTACGTGAACCGGTAGCCTTTTCCCTCATTTAGGGACACTCCTGTCCATCTGGTGGCTACTTCCAAAAAATTCCAAGGAATTTTCACTTTGCAGTGAGATGCACAGAGCCCTAATGAGCACAGAGCCCACTTTAGAAAGTCTCCAGAGCTAAGAATAGTGGTAGGCTCAGAAAGTACCTGGGAGGTATATGATGTACACTGTCCTARGTCCAAGGCAATCCCTAGATCTGTATTAACTGTCAGGAATGGGATAACGACTATTTGGCTCCCTGATCTGACCCTTAAGGCTGCTCTAGGTGCCCTTCTCCCTATCCGATGTAGCTAACAGGTCAAATATTACTTGGAAAGGGAAGAAACTAAATCTATTCTACTGTCTTTTCAAGGAATTGACTCAGGTACAACCAGCACTCCAACTGCAGTTTAGTTCTCGTGGTCAGGTCTAGGCTGGTTCCACAAAGCCATAGATATACTTTATATTAATATATAAAATGTAAGTGTAATATACAATAATATAATTTAAATATATTATAATAATTTAAATATATGGCAATAAAACATGTATAAAGGAGATCATAATATCTATATTTTATATAAATAACATATACATTATAAATTATATATTACACTATATCTATTATATATAATGTAAGCTATAGGAATAACCTGTGACCATGTGGAAACTCTGCACAGAAGGCTGTTTCAGGTGCAGGAAGCTTCAKACTGGCCTTACCAGACTCAAACTGACTCCAAGATTCTTAGTTCTAAGATGCCAATATACAGCTCCAAGAAGAATCTTTGGAAAAACTTGGAAAAAAATCTTTTGATACCACGAAGTGGAGGCAACAGGTAACCCAGATGAGCTACACAGAATCAGCTGCAACTACACRAGCGCTGAAACACCCCCGAGCTTGCCTCAATTCCCTCCAATGCTCCTGAATATCACTCATGGAAAGAGGYAGAGATCACCCCACAGAAACAACAGAAAATAAAACTTCATGCTCCGTATGTTTCCAGCCTGGATCAGTTCMGCGCATTTGCGCCCTGTTCCTCGGGAACGAGAGCTCATGAGCCATCCTGCTCCCATCCCAGATTTGTTAATACTGCCAGCAAGACCCTTCCCGGTCCAAGCCGATCCTTCCCGAGCCCTCCAKCCCCTAAAAAACCCGGAGACACTTCCCGGGCGATGACCCACGAGTCYCTCCGTTCCCGGGTGCTGGGGCTGCGTTTGCGGCAGCACCGGGACAACACGTGCATATACATGGTGAAAGACGAGCGCAAAAGTTTTTTAAAAAATATATATATAACGGGGGAAAAAAAGTAAAGGAAAAAGAGAATGTGTAAAGTAAAAATAAATAAATAATAAAGAAAAAAAACAACCCGAGAAGAACGCACAAGGAGGCGGGCCGGGCTCTGGGCACACACGTGGTGCTTCCCTCTCCATGCCGCCCGCCCGCCGGGGCCGCCGCTGCCTCCGCGCCGCTCCGCCACGGCACCGAACCCTGTCCCCTGTCCCTATCCCTGTCCCCTGTTCCTGTCCCTGTCCCCGTCCCGATCCCGGTCCCTGTCCCGATCTCCCCGGCCCCCGGGCCACCCCTGTCCGTACCGGCGGGGCGCCGGGTGCGCACGTCGATGTATCCCCGCAGCTTTTTGAGGGCGCGGTCGCGGATGCGCTTCTCGTTGGCGGCCAAGCGCTGCGCGAACTGCACCTCGGGCGGCTGCACGGCCGCGGGAGCCATGGCCCGGCCTGGCCCCGGAGAGCTCCCGTCCCGTTCCCGTTCCCGGCCCGGTCCGGCCCGTCCTGCCCGCAACGCGCTGGGCTCTGCCCGATGCCGTCACTGGCGCCGGGCTCTGCCGTCACCGCAGCGAAGGCGGAGCGCCGGGATGGGCGCCGGGGTGGAAGGCGGGATGGGCGCCGCGGAGTTCGGGACTCAACGGCACCAGCAGGCGAACGGGAGGCACCGGCCGGGGKCCCCCGGGGCTCCCCCACCGCTCCGGGCAYCCCACRGATCACCGAGGGTTGTGTGTTAYTAAGGCTGGAAAAGACCTCCGAAATCGTCAAGTCCAAGCACGGACCGATCACCGCGGTGTCAGCCAGACTATGGCACTGAGTGCCACGTCCTTCGYGAATAGAGGGGCCYRRAMTKG